AAAAACCCGGCTGCTTCTGCTGTGCTGCCCACGTGTGCTCTTCTGCTCTGAGAGTATGAGGATGACTTCACTAAGAGACACACACGGGACATAGAGACAGAGTCTGTGAGAGTTTCTGATAGTTTAGAGGGATAAGTGAGTGAAGGTCTGTTTGAATTAATTCAACTGAAGAAAGGGAAGTAGCAAGATGTGAGTGAGGTAGTTTGAAAAGACTTGAATTTGTAAACTGTTTGTAAAGAGGCACATGTCAACACTGCAGCAGACTCCTTTTACCCCAAAAATGGATAACGTCATACCATATAGTTTGACAGGGTTCGAACCTCTACTAAAACCTTACTAATCTTTACCAAGTGGTGAAGATTCCAGTGATGTACTGGGAATGACCTTTTAAATGAACTTAAACTTCAGCTGATATTAGAAACTTATTATCCAGCTATGTTAAACAATTAGTTCTGATTGGTCAAACCTGTATAACAACTGTGATTTATTTATCAGCAGCAAAGTATGGTTTGTTTGAAATGGCTGGCAATATGGCAATAACAGATTTAAGAGACAGTTGTACATCAAACAAACGAAAAAAAAACCTACAGAAACTGACTCTTTTCTAAATACAGGACTATGATTGGCTCAATGTATCTTACAATGGCAGGGAACCATTGAGAATGAAAGCAGCTCCAGACCAACCTGCAGTAAAATTGATATGAGCTGGCTCACGGGTCTGGAGCTGCTATGCTGAAAGACAGGCCCAAAACAAACACAACATGGAACTGAATACGAGCACTGGCAGTGCTGATGGACAGATCTAGCGAAAAATTATAAAGACACTTTGAAAGTGATGCAGCAGAAGGCCTGAAGGGTCTCTGAGGTAATTTCATGCATCAGTTCAAAACACCAACAAAAATGCTTATGTTTCAATTTTAGCATGAGAGGAAATGTCAAGTTCAATTTCATTTTGAGCCTGCAAAAACGGTTAACGTTTAGATTTTAAAGTGAATGAAAATGTTCAGTTTAATGTAGCTTGGACCCAGAAGCAGGCTGATAGGAAGACAGGAATCGGAAGATCTACAATCTGAACAACCCCTCAGTGGTTTGACGGATGAATAAATCACAGTACTGACACACAGCAGAGATTAACAGTAAGAGCTTTAAAACATACTAGACTTTGAATTTGTGCACGTTAGCTGTCAAAGTCCCACTCCAATTATTATTATTTTTACTACTTACAGTGTTCTCAGTGGTCTTAAAATTGTGATTATGAAGTTTTTAGCCAAAATCATGTTACCTGTGTCATTTTCAAGGACTTTGCTCCGGTTGCTCATTAGCGATTCGCCTCTGAGTCATGGTAGGAGACTGCGCTGCTCTGCACACTCCTCTTCACACTAGCTTGCAGCCTAACATTGCCAGTGGTGAAGTAGTGGCAAGTAACAAAGGAGCTATTCAGCTCTTGGACACTGATGTCTTTAGGGGTGTGATAAAAGCTAATATCATTATTAGCTTTCTCACGAACATTGCAATTCGCTAACGCACACGCTTGTTCCGCGATCATCCTCTCTATTTCTCTGAGTCTGGTCTGCATAGCAGGGCTCTGGGGGCGGAGCTTGGAGTTGTGACGTAGGAAATCTCACTGTGTCTGAGCCTGCTGTTTGGGTCTGCCAGAGACTCACAGTGATTTGAATGCAGAAATACTCAGAAATGCAATTGCATACTTATTTTTTCTCATTTGTACTGTAGCATCAGAAAAATGCCATATGAACATGTAGACAACAAGAAAAATGTGATTTTCATCAGAGTGGGTCTTTTAATAGATTTATGTATTGCTGGTTTTGGTCATTAATGAGAAAAAGTTCTCGCACATTGTGATGCTTTTTACTGACACGTTTATTCACTCAGTATTTCAGTCAAGACAGACCTCCATCAGGTATAATGGCAGCGTAAAACTGTTTCCATAGCAACACTACCAAGGAGACTGCTCTAGATACCAATCATCCAATCAGAAAACCACTGAGACTGATGACCACCTAAAGCGAAGCAGTAGTATCTTCTTTGTTCAGGAAGTTACTGGACCTCACTACATATGAGTTGGCAGGTGTGACTCAGTGGCACTAAACACAGTTTCTACATCAAGAGTTCCTGTTTGCAAGAGGACTTGGTTTTGGTTGTTGCCAAACTTTTCTATCACGAAAATGATAGATAATCCTACCTCATATAAATATCAGTAAACACTTGGTAACATGAATGGAAAATTCAGGACCTTCTGACCAAACTTTTGTGTAATCATTGTGTAAATTTTCCATTAATGACTCCAAGAAAGTCAGCAGCATGAGAGTCTGTCCGTGTACAGAGAAACAGATGAAACCGAACAGATAGAGAACTAGTTTTTACCCACTTCACAATCAGTGATTTCATGTGAAATTTGGATGAAAATTCAGCAGCATTACCACATATCCTTCTGTCCTGCCCTAAACTGGAATCCTTGATACTTTGTGTCTAAGTGTGTGCAGGTGTGTGTCTGTGTGTATCCAGTAAATAAGTTTACTTTTGCCCTGACAACCATCCACCCTCTGATACACACTGGATGCATAAAGGACCTCTGTGTCTCAAATCAGACGAATGAAGGGAGGGAGGACACACACACACACACACACACACACACACACACACACACACACACACACACACACACACACACACACACACACACACACACACTTTCTCCAGACAACAAGGATATCTGTGTCCAAACTTGTGTTTGCTCATGTTGGCCAACGATTTCATTGATGTCTTTGTACATTTCATTCTCTGGTCTTATAACACACACACTAATCGTGACACACAAACACAGTCAGTTTTCTCTTGGGCTTTAAATACAAATCCAGGTTTGGACAGGCCAACTGGGATTTCTGGCAGAATTTAGACTGGCTGACTCACCCTTGAGCTGCACACTTTCTCACAGCTCACTAACTTTCAAAAAAAGGGGGCAAATTTGTTCCATTTCACTGAAACAAAAACTGGGGTTGCTGCACATACCTTACAAATTCATCATGAAAATGTTCTTAGAATCTACAAAGTGATGAACTTCCCTAAAAGTTTCTTCACTGCATTTCACAGGAAATACTCTCATTGTGTAATCATTGATTACACAGCTGAACATGCTGATAAAGCAGCCACCTGCAGTGACAGGAATGAGTGGCAATACCAACAAATACGAGTTGAAATATCAGTGATGGACATGAGTCAGCTCACATAGTAGATAAGTGATATTTTCTTCAGAATTGTGACTTTAATTTTTACGGCTCTTCGATTTGGCCAAAATAGTTATGAAAGAATTAGAATCAAGAAAGTGAAGAAGCAGCTTGTTTCCTAGGGGTTAGATATAAATTAATGCACTGATTTAGACATGAGACTCAAAAAGGGCCATGTCGTCTATTTTTGTCCCTTCAACATGCAGCTCTTTTGGCACTGAACGAACACGTAGGCCTGCTTAAATCCAAAATAAGAAATGGGTAATTATTAAATCAGACCAATAAAATGTAACACTTTCATTCAGACTATTTGCATATTCATCTGCCAATCTTACACTTCCCACTCAGGGTCACCAGTGTCCTTTTGGAAGACGAATATACTCTTTCTGTCAATTTGTGCATTTGTTGATTAGAATGAGCTCCTTTTCAGGTGGCAGCTGTACTCTATGTATTCCTCCCGCACAAATGTTCCTGCAAATTGGCAAAAGCTGAGGGTAATAATTAAAGAAATGGGAACACAGAGTGTTATGTGAAGGCGATGTCTTTGATAGCATGCCTTCTTGTACAAGTGGTGAGTGAAAGATAGAGATGGTCAGTGTGGAAATTCCTTTCTATTTTTGTATCTTTGTACTCAAACACCAAACTGGAGCTGAAAAAACAGATGAAGTCTTCACTTTCAAACAGGAACTGATGATATATTTCTGAGAAGGATAATATATTTTTCAAATTGTGGTAAGAGCTGCTCTTGAGTTGAATCACAGTCTGTTATGCTTATTGATATAAATGCCTTCCTGACTTTCAGTGAAGACTCTTTCAAGAGTGATGTGACCACAGGAACTCACTGAAGCTGGGTTTCCACCAAGTGGTCTAGATCAGTACGGTAGAGTAGAGTACAGTGCGCAAATATTTGTGTTTCCATTGTCATAGATGAGAAAGGTACCAAAAAAATAAACCCCGGACCGCTGCTTTTCAGCTCCCTTCTGTTGGGGCACCAAGTACTGATGCAACTCTAAAGTGTAATACTTGTGAGAGGCGAAGTTGATTGTAGTGATTTTATTTGACCAGTAAATGTATGTACTGTACCTTTATTGATCCTCAAAGGATTCAATTGTCTGTAGTCTCATGTCTCAAGTCATCTACTATTTACAGAAGAATTAAGCAGTCTGATAGCTATAATTACAAAATATCTTCTGAATCTTTCTGTCCTGCAGCAAAGTGAGAGGAGTCGTCCACCGCCATTGGCCCTTTGGCCAAAAATGTTCTTTCTCGAGCTGCAAAACTCCACTGCACTCGGTGATCGACTCTTCAGGGCTTCCCCCAGAGACGTAGACCTTTGTGTATTGCTATTGTGCGGTCGTTGCTGAAGTTGGTCTAACTAGAGAAGCAAGCAGTTGGCAACATTCATCTCTTGAGGGGGTGTCTAACTCAGTGTTACGGTGTGTTTGACCATAACTTAAATTTATGCCAGAATATCCTTTTAATATTTTACCAATGGTTTCATTTATGGAGTAGTTTATCCAAAAGGTAGGCTGTGCAAAATCAGCATTGTTTTCTGGTATCTTTTAAATTTAGGAAGTACTTGTTCCAACTTACTGATACCGGCCTCAAAAAAACATACAAAATATCACATAAAGTAATTTTTGTTTCCACTTCAAGTACTGGACTCAGTACACCTAAAATATAACTTTAACCACCTTTCTCGTACAACAAAAAACATTCATAAATAAAAAAAAATTAAAAAAAAACTCACATACCAAATTTTATAACAATAGTAGATTTTATTTGGCACAACACAAAAAAAAGTGCTTTTCGATAACACTGCCCATGACTTTGGCATGAAAACAACCACAACAGTTGGTCTCACTCATAAAACCTTGGAATAAACCTCTTTAAAACAGTTTAAAATAAAAAGTTAACTCAGTTTTTTTTTTTTGTTAATTTGTCATTAAGGCACCTCACAACTTCTCATCACATTTTGTGCAAATGTTTTAGACAAACTTTTTTAGTATGCTTTGGCCTTGTAGCCCTTTAAAATCTAAACACTGGAACTGACTCCAGGTAGATTCAACGCTGTAAGAAAGTATGATTTTTACATATTGTACATCTTAAAAATAAACCCTAAATGTATTGTTTTTTGCAGTGTAGGGATTTTACATATACACCAGAGGACAGTCTCATAATTGCAGAATTCTATTCATAAATATACGCTGGTTTTCTGTCTATGCTAAGGGTACAAAAACACAGGTTTATTACCTCTTCTTTTAACCAATAACTTATCCCTATGAATTGCATTTCATTGTTGTTATTGCAGACAAAACCCCCAGCTCATAATTTCACATTGTTTGGTCAGATAAACAAGTCATTGTCAGAACAGTTGAAAGCACAACAAACATATTTCCCATTTTTCTTACAAAAACATGAGTGAAAATAAAGGATCTTTGGTAGCTAAGCAAAAATAGAATATGTCTATGTATAAAATGCACTGAAATATAAAGTTACAATAAGTAAACGGCTACAGCAAAAGGCCGACAAGGCAGAGATATCCAGCTTTGACTTAATAAGGAACTGCGTATAAAAAAAAGGACATTTAATTATTTAATATCACAAAAAAGATCATAAATTACTTGAGACTTTCAGAATGCATCAGTCTTTGGATGGCATCCCGATGCCTTGATGCAATGCAAAGAGAACCGCTGAGGTATTTCATCTTGATTACGTCAAGCATCACACTTGACAACCAGAGCGACATAAAAGTGCATAAGAGTTAAACTTATGTCTGCTCCCGGCCGTCTGTAGCAAACACTGGACTTGTTTCGTTCCAAAATGCTGTCCCCTTCCACTAAGTGCCCTTATTCCCACTCCTGTCATCAGGTAGTACTTTTCACCTATTAGATGCATCATTAGGTCATCGTTTAACACAATTCAAGGTAACCAAAAGCATCCATTTCTCTCATTACAGTATGTAAAGAAAGGAAGAGAGCAAGGGCACATGGCAGACAAAAGCCACAGAGTCTTGGATTGGAACATATCCACCATGTCTACTTGGTGGTTATCATTCAACTTGGTAAAAAGACATACATAAAAAACTATAGTGTAAAAACTATCTCTCAACCTACACTCATTTATTCATATTCTTTTTTAAAAGTCATTGTCACCTGTATAAAATAAAATAGTCACAGCAGCAATGATACGCCATCTCTCTTCTGGTCACATCTTCACCTGGTCATCTGATGTGGTTGAGATTACATCTACCAATCAGTGATCAGTTTGAGATTCTTCACTTTGTAAACGTTGCGAACAATAATGCATTTATGTCATATGGGGAAAAAGCGAATGTGGTGAATTCATATCATTTTGTAGGCACAAGTGCATATCTCTTTGGATCCTGAAACACATTAACACATCTATTCACAAGAATGCACTGTAGTGGGTGATATGTTTGAACTGGAAGCAATATAGCAGCAGTTTGGGCGTTGTAGTTATGAGCTGATATGATACGAGAACACTTATTACATGAGAAGACCTCAAAGCTGTAAATTTCCCATATGACATGGATGCAAAATAAAGAAAGAGCAGCTTCCATTTTAAAGCCCTTTCCTTCTAACCATAACTCCTGTCTCTCTGATACTGTAACTCTCCTGATAAGACTGTCAAAACACTGAAAGGGTACGCCGTTACATTTCCCACAGAACTAAAACTCCGATTGTTGCTTGAAATCAAATTTTCTGAAAGTACTGTGGTCTACCTCACCTGTCAATGAGATTCACAATCACAACATGGTCATTTGTGGAAAACAGTTTGACTTCTCTTGTATTTGGTGGATGGTGAAAACCTCTCTCAGAATATAGAATATATTGCAGTTTTGGTGTAAACTGAAGCAATGTACCAGTGGTTTCTGTGTTTCTTTTTGATGGTATTGATATGTAGATTTGTTCCTGGTGAGAATGTACACACTATTGTTGGTGATACAATGATGCTCTGGAAGTTTCATCACTGGTCAAGTTAAACCCAAATGGTAGGAGATAAAAATACACAGTTTCATAGGTTCAGTTGCAAATGTTATACTGAAGCCCAGTGAAAACGACATGAGTAAGAGGTAGCTAATATAAAAAAAGCCTAGCACTCTTGTTGCTAACTACTATGTAATTTATCTTACCATTTTGAGTTATCAAGGTTAGCTATAGGAATCAAAGTCAGCTAATTAGCCAACACGCTGGCATTCCAAGACCATAGTTTCTATGGTCATGAATGGACAAAAAAAGCAGCCACTGTCATTTCAATGTTTTCCCATTCAAGCTTGACAGAAACTCCATTTTGGTTGAACTCAACCAATTTGCCTCCAGAGCTGCTCTGTATCTTTAAACAAGTATATAACAACAACATAGTGTAAGTGAGAGCAATGTAAAAGGACAGTTCAGTGGTACATGATGACTCTTGTCTGCAAGTCATACATCCAGGACCATATCGTAGTGTGGCTCCTTCTTCCTCTTCCCACACTTATTTATCAGCACTGTGTACAACGTCAACAGTATGACCCAGTAACTGGCATAGACAACTGCCCCTATGATCAGGACAATCTTTTCAGATTCAGGAAAAGGTTTTCTAGTCTGCAGGATTGTTGTGTAGATAATCCCGATGAAGAGGATAGTGAACCAAACTGATATAGGAATCAGACCAATAAAGTTCACCACTATTGTTTTCCTCCCAGAGGTCCCCCATCCAGACTTGTTGATTGTTGCTATTGCAAACATTTTGGCTGGCAACAGGCTTGACATGTACAGTACAGAGTAGAATGACATAAACACCATGACAATGTTACCTCTAAGGCAGCTGGCGAATGATGATTTGATTAGTGCCACTGCTTGAACAATGAGTAGAAACAACAAAATATTCCAGAGCCTTCCTTGGTAGAAGAGCTGGATTGCAGTGGCAATGAGGAAAAACGGGAAAAAGCCCGTGATCACAGCCTCATAAGTCATCCATAGATGATGTTTATGGAACCACATAGAGTTGTAAAGCCATTCTCTGAAATAGGACTTACTCCAACGAGTCTGTTGATTGAGCCACCTCAGATATGTGATGGGCGTCTCAGTGAGGCACTTAGATCGTGCAGTATATTTGGTTGCATATCCAAGACTTAAAACTCTGTTTGTGAGATGGCGGTCATCCCCAAAACTGCAGTGGGATCCCATGAAAGTCTGATTGTACCAGTCTTCAACAAACTCATGCAGGAGGGAGTTTCGGTACATTCCCAAAGGTCCGCTGATGCACTGCACACAACCAAAGTAGGACTGGCATGCCCGTTCAATGTTGAAGGCCATCCAGTAGCGCACACTGCTCAGGAAGGAGATCCAGGACTCGTATTTATTCAGGATCTAAACAGGGATTGATTTGCCAAAAGATGAAGGTGTGAGTTTAACATTAAAAGGAAAATTGCTAAGTTTGACGATTGCAGCAACTTTGGTAATGATCTTGATATTGATGTTGGAACTTACCTGAACATCTCCTCCGACCCCTCCTACCATTGGATCCTCTTCCAGAACCTTCACCATCTCCACTGATGATGCTGGGTCCAACATAGTGTCAGAATCACACACCTGAGTAGAAGCCACAAGACAAACAGTTCATCAGTTTTAGTCATGTAAAGATAGCACACACTTGAAGGAAGTACTGAGTCAGTTTTAAAAGGAGAGTGCTTCTCTTAGTTGTGCAGGTTGTCAAGCCCCCCTAGAGCACTTTCATGATTTGTGACTCTCTATGTTAAAACCTGACATGACTAGAAGGTCGTACACAGCTTTTATAGCTTACTTCTCTAGTCTTGCAGTTCACAACTAATGCTCTTCTTAGCTCTCTGCTTTTTCTTCTATAAATGGTCATCTCCTTCCCGAACATTATCAGGTGAGGAAAAGAGTCCCAGAACCCAATCCCCATTAACAGACCACATCTGTTTCAGGCAGAGCCTGATGATAGTAAAAAGGCATGTAACACTGTCCTTCCTTGCCCTTTAGGTTAAAGAGTATTGGCATGACTTCTGACACTGTTTTGGTAATTTCTTTGCTGATGTCTATAAAGCAGTGAGTTTCTGGCAGACTGAGGGCAGCTGCAGGTGTTCAAATCCCTTGCTTTGAATCACAAACTCATTAAACATTTCTTACATTTTAAGATCTAAAGGGTCACACCTTCTGTTACTCGTTCAGCATGCCTTTTCTACCACAACCGGCTGTGTATTGTGAAACAACTACAACGTAATCACTTTGTGTTTTGGCCAAGAAACTGTTCAATGGAATCACTTTTGCACAATTACTTTCACCGTTAATCCTGAACCAAATTTTGCTGCTTTGGCAATAAAGCACCTCCATCCAAGGTTTCCTATTCCATGCATTGTCATGTCTGGCTAACAACCTCAGAGGCCAGAATGGAGTTGGAGATGAGAGACAAATGAGCAGTAAAATTGTTTGGTAATAGCTGATGGGTACTGCCTGGAGTAAGTCATCTATAGAGAATGATCCAATGGTCTTTACAACACATATCGCTGTGACGAGACATGAAATGCTGGGAGCAGAGAGTAAGTGGCATGCAGCAAAGTGCTAAGGATGGAAGTGAACCTACCACTACTGCAACCAGGGCTAGCCTCTGTAGATGGGGTGCATCTGAGCTAAACCGGCATCAGTGGGGCCAAGTTAAATAGTTGGGCGCAAAGAAATTTGGGGGTTAGAAAAGGGGGAAGTACTCCTCATGTTCTGTGTTCTCACTCAAAGTGGTAGCATGGCACTCTTACACGGCCCAGCTAATTTATTGAACAAAAACAAAAAGACTTCAAGAGAAATTAATCCCATTATGGTGCTGTTAAACACAATTGAGTCATGATTAGCAAATAGTTTGGAGAAATGTAACAGCTGGGTTCACAATATTGCTATTCCACTGTTAAAATGTATTTTAATCACAGAGGACATAATAAAAAGTTTGCTACATAACTTTTGTGTATCAGAGGCTTTTGTGGCCCCAGAGGAAACTTAACCATACAACCACATTACTAAAATCGTAGCACAGACTATGAGACCAATAAGTCAATGTTATTTGAAATAATGCTATGCTAGCATCAGCGGCTGTTAGCGAGTGGTTCTAAAGACCAAATAAGGCTGTTTGAGTAATACCGTTACATGTGCTGAATTGTTTTATAGCTCCTGACTGCGACTTTTGAAAGAAACATAAAACACACATTGTGCCTGTCACAAATCAGAAGTTGAATAGTTTCCGTAACTCTTTAGCTTTATGACCGTGCTATCAATCTCCATAACAGAACATTCTCCTCAGCATTTACTGCCTACGGGATAAAAACAGGTTTCCTGATACTTCATCAGTCTGTGAATTGCCAAGCTTGGCACTGTGCTGTTCATATTTTAAGCAACCCCACTCCATACTATTGGCCTGTTAGTCTGCCAAACAGGCATGGGAACTGGCTTTCACAGAGATGTAATTTAAGTGTCATTTACGTACACTAAGATTATTATTCTTTGAGTGATTTCCACTGACAGCACTTTTTCCTTAAGTCTAATATCACTTTTTATTCATCTTATTTGAGTCCCCAGCTATTTATTGAAACTCAGCAAATAGATGCATCAGAAATTTGTAAAAAAAAAAATTGTGGGGGTCGCGGCTCTGGTTAAGACTCATGCATATGATGTAACACTCAGCTCTGTGAAACAGATCTGTTATTACACTTAGACATGAGCTACTGCCGGCCCTCTTCACGCTACACTTAACAACACGATACACACAGCCACAGTGCGTCTAAAAGCTGCACAAAAGACTCTTTGTGGACCCTATACATGGCCTGGCAGAGCCCCCTTCCTCCCCCTCTCTCTCTATCCCTCTATCCTTTCCTTCTATCTCAGGTCACACCTATGCCACTTGTCCTGGATTTACCTGGTATCCAGTTTGCAGTTTTCAAACACCCTCTTTTGTCATCTAACTTCCCTTTTTTTTGCTCTTTCAAAACATCTTGCCAAGTTTAATTTTACTTCTGTTTATTCATTGCTTAAGTTTCCTTTATTTTTGCACAGTCATGTTTCATGTCATCACCTTCCTGTTTTATTTTGTTGATCACTTGCCCTTTTTTCTGCCCTCTAGGTATGTTCTTGTCTGGTCTGCCCTGCCCCTGTCTTGTCACACATGCTGCCTGATTGTCTTTCCCCACCTGTTTCCCATCACCCTTATTACCTCTTGTATTTTACACTGTGTGTCTCACTGTCTCATCACCACTTCGTTGCACTTCATAGTCTTGTTCCTGCATTAATTATAGTTATTAAAACTCATTCATTACCTCACGTTTTCGAATACTTCTGCCTGATCTTTAATGAGCGTCAATAATCCCTGCCTGTTGGACAAACTGATTCGGTGTCTTGCTATTGTGTCCTCCTTTCTGGGTCTCATTTCATGACATAAAATCCCTTTTAACTACCCTGTCTTTTTCTAGCTCATAGACTTACCTGAACATAGTCCACGCTTCTCCCCAGGGCTTTGAAGGCCGTGTACATGACCTCCCTCTTCCCGCCCCACTTCTGCATGATACACACACACTTGTTGTTTAGCACCAGTTTTGAGACTTGCTGAAGGCCTTCAGCATAACTCTCATCCGTCTCATCCGGCCCTCTGTGGTGGTAATTACTCCGCCACACATAGGTGGCCGATTTGTCCCATCCCATGATCTCTTTAAAAATTTCCATCATATACAAGTCATCTTCTGAGTTCCCATCGATCACCATGATCACTTTGATCCCTGGGTATGTCAGCCTCCTGACAGAGACCAAGCATTTCCTCAGGTAGTTAGGGTCCTCTTGATACGCTGCAATACACAGCGCTAAAGACTTGTTGAGTTTGATTGGCGTCTCTAAAGACCGCTTCATGTTTCGGTGTTCTAAGAGCGCAAAGAGGCTCTGGATGATGAGATGGACCACCAAGATAGCACCGTACAAGCCAAAGGAAAGGTAATTGCGGGCTGTAGTGAAGAACTGGTAGCCCATGATGTAGGCAGTGGAGATCCCCACCAGCAGGGACACGCCAAACATGGTGGTCCCAAATATCCGCAGGTACGTGAGGATCCTCTGGCACCTCATCTGCGAACAGAAAGTGGAGAAAAGGATTTATTTAGCGAGTGTGACAACAAAGTGACCGGATTTGGACCCGATGCTTCCTAGAATAAAACACTGAAACCTCAGTCTTACGCCGTGCTTATCAACTTCTTTAAAAAAAACACCAATGACAGATGTTTCCTAGAATTAAACACTGAAACCTCAGTCTTGCGTTGTGCTTATCAACTTCTTTAAAAAAAGCTAAACATACAAAAAAAAAAAAAAACTAAACTAGGAAATCAAAGTTACAGAATGAGTTTGCAATGGTACAAAGAAGAGAAACAAAACATTTTTTTTTTTTTTCAGATTTGTGAATTTGGAATAAAATATACAATAACTTGCGACATGCATGTAAACACTGATGCCAACAGTGACTCTAGCGCTTATCAAAATAGTGGACTACCACATATAAAAAGTGCTTATTCACAGATTTCCAGAGTGCCCCTCAATGGCATGCACAACCTTGTTTTATTACAACAAGCCCTGGTATGAAAAGCTGTAAACTTTCTCCCCCTTGTCTACACCCCTCTTGGCCCCCTCCATCTTTCTCCCCCTCCCCAAAACCCCTGTCGAATTGTCAGACAGTTGTGAGTAGCCGATTGTTCCAACTCTCCTTTAGTGTGGGTGGGCGCACATTACAAGATTTCTTGACCTAATTAACCAACAAGCCGGCTGCTCCTGCCAAACATCCAACCAAGTGCTGTCTGAATGCCCGAGTGAAACTATTACAGCATTTTTGTATGTTTGAACATTATAAATAAGCATTCCTCTCAAAGCCCCTCTCTGAAAAATACAGGGTTTACAGGTTGTTTTTTTCAAGGAGAACCGGTGAAGAACATCTCCTCCTACTTCTTGTGACCGTCTTTTTTGACCCCGAGTTCTGTTGCACAAAATCTTCTGGTCAGAATTTAGTTTCCAGCCCTCATTATGTTGCTACCGCCATCTGTTTGGCAGACCAGCGGAGACCCACTCAGCGCAGCTCAATGCAGAGCGGACCACCCTGTGATGTCATCTGTTTATATCTCCGTGGGAAGAAGAACACAAGGGCTTTTTAGATTTTCTAATGCTGCACGTGTGCTTCTTCCCCTCCTTGACTCCCCATATGACGAGACAATCATTACTGGGATTAATCATGCAGGGCTAAGCTTCGTTTTGAATGAAGGGAATATATGTGGCATAAAACTACTCGAGTAACGTGCTTTTTTTGATTCGTAAAGGAAAGATCGGAGGGAGTTTGATACTTAAAAGTGAGTTTTTCTGTCTTGGGAAGTGTGGGGCACCCCCTTGTGGCATCAAATTCAGATTTTAACATGCAATTTGAATATTTAGAATTTCAGAATGGAATCGTTTCGCTAGATAGAGGAGCTCCATATCATCACACTTGTATCATCATACATAAAGAAATGTCAGCCATATGCTTCATTTCAGTCAATGCATGTAAATTAGGTCAAGAAGAGAGAAGAGAGTCATGGACAGAGCACACAAAGCCCAGAAGAGTTTGTGATTTGGCAAGAGGTCTTCACACCACACCTAAATACACACAAGACAGATGGAGGGAGGGAAACAGACAGAGAGGGAGAGAGACAGAAGTGAAAAGAGAAGTTGGAGGACTGGGGAAGGAGGCGAAGTCAGACAAAAAGAAAGTTTCAAAGAGAAAGCAGATAAAAGTGAGCAGAAAAAGACAACAGATGAATATCTTGATAGGAGAAAACAAACAGAAGAGGAAGGGAAGAGAAGAAAGCAGAGAGAGAGAGAGAGAGAGAGGCTTGGCTAAAAGGGAGGAACCTTGGCTCAGACACAATGTCTTGTTAATTTGATCGTTGGATGAGAAGGCCACAACCAGCATAGCAGACCTCCTCTGGCACGTGGCAAGGCTCTTAACGTCAGCCGCCCATTTACAAGACCCCTGACACACACACACACACTCCCCATGTACACACATACACACAAACGCATGTTTAAAAGCTTATTACAAGAGAGCGAGAAAGAGAGAGAAAATACACGTTTCTAATTGTGTGTGCTGACAGAGCATTTCACCTTAGACCTCCTTAAGTTTGTGCACCAATGTGTGTGAGTGCAGGAGTGTGTAACACTTAACAACTATATATGGCAGTGCTGAATAAACCCCCTCACCCTGTCTCTCAGTATTAACTTTGAATGAACTCAGCCACTGCGGAGGAGAAATGTGTTTCATCATTAAGGTACCATCAAAATAAAAGCACCTAATGCTTTCTGAATGTTTGGTGTAGAAATGATTATAAAAAAAAAATCTCTAGGATTAGGACAGGAAGGCTTTGCTGATCTATTAACGTAACTCTTTGACCCGGGCATGACAGAGCTAATTCAGACAGACACATTCACACCTACTGGGAATTCAAGGTTTCCACTTCAGCAAACCTGCATTTCTCTGAGCTGCAGGAGGAAATCACAGGACTTGGGGTAAACCGCTGCACACACACGGAGAACATGCGAACTCTACGCAGCTTTTGTTGCTTTCTGACCGCTTGTTTATTTACGACAGAGCCTTTACTGACATGAAACGCTTGCTTGGGTTTGAAGTTTGTGGTTAAAATACAAAATCAAACTGTGAAATTGAATCCAGGTCATGATCTCTAAACACACACACACACACACTGTCTGTTCTGTGAAATCAAGTGATTCCAGGCAACACTGCCAGCTGTCGGGGTGCTGTGCTCATCATAGCGTCTCATACTCCCTCATGGGTGTGCGATCCTCTGCAAAGGTCAAGACTAACAATTAGCTCAGACTTCAGTAAGATTAAGTGCAGGCTAAAAGTCACTTATGAAGCTCATCCAAACGTTGCCCCTGAGATTTAGCCTCTAATCAGAGGATTATCGTGACTCTGAAGGTGTTGTTGAGTCATGTGGCTGTTGTCGCTTTAGACGGTGTGCGAGTGTGTTTGACGATACATGACGTGTGCGCTGTCAAGGAGTCATTAATACATGTGGAATTCATCACCCAAGATTTACGTTTGTTTTTTCATCTTAGCACATAGAAGTGAGAGAATCCCTTCAATATCATTAGTTTGATCCTCCTGTGAGTGTGTGTGTGTGTCTGTGTGTGTGTGTGTGGTGACCTTAGATTGGCTGCAGCCTCACTTTGACGTCATTAATACTCTCCCGAGTAAAACTCCTGCAGACTCTATCATAAAGATCATCAGACAAACAGGTCAAGTTTAACATTGATGGAGAGTAATTGGAAAGGTCGGTAAAACGAAGGACGAGTGAGTGGGTGTCCTAAGTGTCTCAAATGTCTTTGCAGTCTTGTTTCTGCTGAGATTTATCTGTTCAATCAACATCAGAGGCCGTTCAAGTGTGTAAGGAGTGTCAACCAGGAGTGTGTCCAAAAGGGTTAGATAGGGGTGGCATGGTCCCCTTGATGCCAGAAAAGTCTCCTCATAATATGTCTGGCCATCCCAGCAAACATCCCAGAATCCCAATCTATGATTAGCCACTTGCCCCATTAGAGTAAGCGCTTGTGGCAAAATCTTTGACCTTTTTTTGCTTTAGTCTGACATACAGTATGTCTTTTTGTATACACATAAATTTGTGATTTTTGACACATTTCAATCCTTAACGATTTGAGCAAGCAAGATTTTAATACTACTTCACTTTTAATTAGACTGTATATACTACGGACAACTGCTGTCCGTCATTTGAAGTCGAATTGCTCTCTGTATATCCGGGATTTTATCCACTTCCTAGAACCATCACTTGCGCAGCAGTGTTGTACACATCCCGCGGGAGAGTTGCCAAAAGTCGCTGTGGTGACGCTCTGCTTAAACAGCGTATCCCCCGGGTGAGCTACGCAATCTCCGTACACCCATAGGCTGTATCAAGTGTCAATCATAGAAAACATAAACCCCCAATAACTTTTAAAAATGGAGCTGTACAGAAAAAAGTTTGACTTGAACACAAACCAGTCTTACAGTAAATACAAGTCGACATCGCAACCAGGGTGGAGAAAAATTTATAGTCTGTGTAATTTATCTCTAAAGTTTGTCCACAGCTCCATAGGGATTGCTGGAGGAGGCGGGATTTATGACCTATACTGCAGCCTGTCACCAGAGGGTGCTGTTCTTATGGTGGCTTCACCCAGGGAGGAGGCAGACAGCATCAATTCTTTATACAGTCTATGCTCGGTTCTATTACTACAAAGTAGAAAACAAACAAGCACAGGGATATAACATGTTCTGGTCTTATTAAAATTAGTGGATTAAGTAGATACGGTTGGTAGAAATGAGAGGGAAATGAATCGCCAGTAATTTTTGACCAGCGAAGTCAAAAAAGGAGAGACGTAGCCCTGAAGTCAGCTGCCCTAATATTGAAGCTGTGTTCATCTTGGTGAAGGACAATGAGTTGAACCAGCATTAGGTGCCAATAATAAAAACACACATGTACAATTGCAAGTTGTCAATTCAAAATGTATTAGTTATCACTGAGCACAAAGAAAATCTGTGTCCCTGAGCCATTCTGTGAGGTCTGTAGGTGTCCACGTTCAATCTAATGCAAAGTTATTTTATTGTGGATTGACCAGCTGCATCACTAACAATGCATGCGAAGACCAAAATGTCCACTCCACACTTAATATTTTAGGGCAGTACAGTATTTTTAGCGCCACTATTGTCATCTTTTGCGAAAACTTGGCATATTAACAGGAGACAGATTAAGAAGACAAAATTCCAGATAAAGAAGTTTTGCTTAGAGTTTAGACAGAGTTTCTTTTAACGGCATGCAGACACCCTTGCTGGTTTAGAAACAGACTCTTATCTATCCCTGAGCCCGGCTTGAAATATTCTTCAAAATTGTTTTTGACATCCTCTCAGGCCGGGCATTTAAGCATATCTGACGTATGGGAAATAAAGGAAATATCTCTGTGACCCATTTTGGTACATATGAGTAATGGTACTCCAGTGATTTATTATAGTTAAGAGAATCACCACATGCATATGAAAGTTATGCAACAGCTGAAAGATGCCAGATATACTGTATATGTGACTTGTCTGGGAAAATTTGAATACCATTAAGTCTCTCTGCTGCCAAGATGGCCATGTGTTCCTGTATGTGTGTGTTTGTGAAAACATGTGAGCTAAGCATTTTATGTGCTCTGTCTGTGCGTGTGTGTGTGTTTAGCATGTGTGTGTACATGCACACAGGAAAAGATGCATATGTGCGAGTGTGTGTGTGTGTGCTGTAAAGAAGAGGACATAGTTTGACTGAAGTCTCAGGAGAGCAGTGGAATCCCTGTCAGCAGGGTCCCAGCTCCAAGGCCTGTGATGGAACGTAAAATATAACAGGGCTCGCCAGACTTGTGTGTGTGTATGTGTGTATGCAGTAGGACACATGTGTACAAGAATTTGTGTGTGTCATGATTGTATGCTTTGCACAGGCAGTATAAATTTGAAGTAAAGCCAAAAAAGACAGCTTTGCTGGTCCGCGTGGAGCTGAGATAACATAAAGCTTACATCTTTATGTTATCGTGACTCAGCAGTCACTGCCTAAAAGTGCAACATTGAAAAATCTGCAGAGTGCTGCTCACAAATCAAGATTAAGTGTTGCACACATCTGTGGCTTTAGACTTTTGAATAAATGACATGGAGTGCATGTTTATGACAACTTTATTATCTTTATTAATCAACAATAGATTCAGGCTAGTGAAGATGGATTCATGATATTTCTGCTTTGCTAAAAGCCCCTGAGCGTTGATCCAGCCATATTGGACAAACCTTATGTTATAGTCACTGCTGTGTTGGAAAATCAGACCTGCTGAGGTCATTTGAAATCTAAACTGGATGATATCTTCCTTGCTGAAATGCAGATATTCATAAATGACGAATTACATCGTCTGGAAAATGAACAAGCAATGCACATTATTAACTTGTGCATACACAAGCTTGTGTGTGTGTGTGTTTGTGTGTGTGAGAGAGAGAGTAAGAGCTGGGCAGGGCTTGAAAAGACCAGGATGCGTTTTAAAGGCATTAAAAGTTGGAGATGGCCCTCATGACGGTTGTAGCAGGATGCAGGGAAGGCTCACGTGTCCCTGAGCAGATGATGGGACAGGAGAGAGGGAGCGGCTTGCAGAGACTGGAGAGTTGGCTGCTGACTCAGGCAGAGACACTCAGGATGTGCTCAGAGCCGGGTTGTCCTTCCCTCCCTATTCACTATCACGGCCTGCTGTCTGATATATGGACAACTGTGTGTTGATACCAATGCCTCTTTGGAAAAAAATAATCAAATTGTGTTCAGAATATTATAAAGGAAGATGTGTGTGCAATAGGTGATTACAAAAGTCAACTTACGTACATTATATTTGCTAATGGGATGACTAAAGCTGATGTGAGTCAGACTGTTCCTCTCTTATGATGAATTTGAACTTGGGCCATGTTGACCGCCCTTGTAGACAGAGTATATTTTTTTAATGGTCCTTTCCTGTGAACCAAAGTAGAATATCCTGAAAAATATATGATCATAACAGGTTCAAACTCACAAACTTGGAGTGTTGGTTGGCTGAGTTTAAAAGTGCCCCCCATGCATTTAGGCCACAGTCACTGGCTTTGACCTCTGGCTATGACCCTTTGCTACATGTCAACCCCCCCACCCCTGACTTTACTGTCCCTCTTTAACTATGCTATCAATCAAGGCAAAAAGTGCAAGAAAAATAACTTCAAAGTTGAAAAAAATAAAGTACATTAAGTCTTAAAATTGTGAACAATGGTCTTAGTTGACAAGAATTTCCTAAAATAACTTTGTGAAATTAGTCAATAATCATCTTGTTGGTCTTGTTTGATTCTGTAGCTCATATAAACCAATCAGTATTAAATTGAGATCATTTTAATAATCCTGGCTGCAGGTTTAAAGGGACTCTGTACAGTTTTTTTTTTATTCTCTGAGTGAAACTGAACACTTGAAGTAAACTGGGGGTCACGGCAGTTTTCAAAGGCGCCGCCAGGAAGTCATTGACCCTGCTCACTCCTCCTCTTCCTCCTTCCTCCCATAAACCCCCCCATGCGGTCACATTGTGCTCTTGTTGTGGGAGCGTCGTCATTATAAGAACCAGAGTCCAACAGTAACACCACCCACTGCGCTGCACCGCACTGCTCCCGACATGATTAGAATCAGGTGGAAAAGGCCACAGACTGGCAGAGGTAGTGAGTTGACTTTTACACTCCCCTTCATCCCCTCCCTTTCCCTCTTCTTCTTCCTCCACTGTCTCCTTATTTCTTCACCTTCTGGAAGCCATTAAGATCAGGTGTGATACAGGCTCAAACTGGCAGAGGAACAAAGGTTACAACATCCTAAAGGAGTGTTACGCATAAGTCACCAGCGGCCTCTTTTTGGAGCATCCTCTGACTCACTAACCGCTGCTGCTGGTGTCATTTCAGCTTTATTCAATATAAAAGTGATGGCTGGAGATGAAGCTGTAGTTTATTATTTCATAACAACACAGTGGTAAATCTATTTGTTAAATGTGACCCAAAAGTATGCTGTTAAATGCATGTTTTCCCCCTTGGACTCATCCCCAGCTCTCTCTTGTTTTTGTGAATGAGCCACTGAAGGCAATTCAGCTCTACGACATAAAACATAATAAAGGAAGACAGCAAAAAAGAGAGAGTTACAAAAGTTTAAGCACCAGAGTATTCAGTAAGGAAGAGAGAGGAAGCTTTCTGGAAGGATGTGAATAAGTGGGAGATTGAGTGCAATGGCAGACACCAAAAGGAAGAGGCAGAAAGAGACTGGAGGTGGTGGACTTGGCTCTGTTCGGCGCCAGCTGAGGAGCTGGACTTACGCCTCTGTGGCAGGCTGCAAGATTTACAACTGAGTTCCAGAGGCGTCTCAGTTGACAATGCCTCCTTCAAAAGTGATCTCCTTTTATTAATTGCTCCGTTTTCTTTCCAAAAGTGCAGTGAAAGCTGAAAAAGAAGTTCTATTTTGCTCTCCTTGCTTCCAAAGACCATAAAATCTACAGGAAGCGCGGAGCCTCACATCAAATCCTCTTTTCTTGGTCCAGGTTGTCACCCATTGATCCGACACTTCCTCTTATCTGCCCACCAGCAGTTATCAGCTGTGCTCTGAAATGACTCTGCTTCCTCTCTACATGGTAGAAAATTCTATTTTTGCACTCTGTTATCACAGTGAAAAGATAACACAAGATCCAGTCAGCCGTGAGAGTCCTTTAAGATGAATGGAGGAAGACTTTTGGAGCTTTTTCAGGTGGAAAAAAAGACACGACTGTGCTTTAGATTAAACAGCTTTTGACCTTTTGTAATAACAACATCGAAAACGTACGGAAGCCAAAAATCTTTACTGTGCAGCTACTAAAACAAAAGTCTCTTTATACAGCTCCCGGGTTGCTTTACGGTGCATCATAACTCCTATGCATTAGCATTGGCATCAGGCCTCCCTGTGAGACTCTGTGACTCGCTATGAGGTAGTGGGAATCTAACTCAGACCCTCACCGACATCCAAACTCTCACTTTTACTGGCCCGCTGTAATGCTGCCTCTCTGCTGCTCTACCTACAGACGCAACCTGGAAAAAGAGCGTGTTATTAATGCACAGTAGATGAGGTAGGTGGTGAGGTTGGTGCTGTGTGTTTGGGAGGAACTGCACACATGCACTCTCTCCTGACTTCAGTAGTTATACCTTTGCCAGCCCAGAGGCCCTATAGACTGGAGGACCCCTGCTGTGAGCAGTAATGGCACGTGGGACTTGTTGTTGGCCCTAATGGAGACCAGCCAAGGAATGCTTTCCTCTGTTGAGTAGTAAACTGCTCTGTAGCTCGCTGTGAGGAGGAACATCCTGTAGCAGCGATGAGTAAACTGCATGACTGTGTCAACCATTGAAGAGTGCCAACAAAAAGTGACTTTTCTTCCTTTGCGGACTCCCCACATTGCTGCACAAAAGAATTAAATCTTTGTTTGAGTGTTTACTGTTCCACTAACAGGCACCAGAGATGGACTGCCTCCCTCGCTGAAGCAAAGTGAACCCCACAGTCAGCACAGGAATCACCCGAGGGGCTTGAGATTAAGGACAGTAAGTTGGTATTAGTCACGATGCATGTGTGCAGAGACAGAAGGTGCACAGATGCGCAGATTTGACCAAAAACATGTGTCCTATCACTTTTTTAAAATGTTTATGCACATCTAACTAAGCTACAGTAAAAACATCACCATACGGAAATCGGTCCTGTGCTTTTATTCTACACAATGCAGTTTTGTTGGATTCTTTGTCCTGCAGCTATCATGCAATAAGCAAACTTTGCAGCTGTTTCTGTTCCACTTAAGAAAAGCTGTGATCAATAAATCACACAGTATCTACTGTATGTCTGAGTGGCTGTTGGGAAAAGCATCAAGTTTAAGCCCCAACATGGCAGGGCTATGATCTCTCCCTTATATACTGGCACCGAGAGTGCTCGATACTTCATCCTTTATCATATAGATATCAACATAACGCCAGCTTGCTCTGTCTCAGCTATAAATCTGAATGCCTCTGGTCAGGAGGGTCAGATAAGGTTAGTGCTTAAGCCAGCTCAGTAGGAAGTAGTTTCCATGTGTGGAACGGACATTATACTGTACATCATACATAAATTACAGGAATGCTGAGATGTCCATATTCACAGATGGACATTCCTGTGTGGGTTTTATATCTGCACAGCGAGAGACTGCAGAGGAAGAATAGAGGGGGAGATTATGCCCAAGGATGGTGACAGATGTTCATTGACATTCATGTGTGAAGTGGGCATGTGTGGAAGTTCTTAGGCCAGCAGCTAGAAGGATATTTGACAGCATGTCCTGAAGGCTCATTGTTCTGGTGGCACCTGCTTTAGCTTCACATACATCATCATGTAAGTGCGGGGGCAGCTGGATAAACTCCTCCTCGACAAAAGCAATAAATGTCAGCCCATAATGTCCATTCAAAAAAGATAATTCTCAAACATTGTCTGGGAAGTAGAGATTTCTCACTTTTCACGTGTGCCCATAGCGGTCTTTCACTCTAGGCATCAAATTACGCGCTCACACCCGGAGCGTGTTCCATCCCAGCCCTCTCATTGGCTCACAAATTTCCAAGAATGACGAACATCTTTTGACGTCATTATAGTTGGGGTAAAGTATAATAGGGTTTAAATAAGTGGCTCAGCAAAGACCAGATGTAGTTTGTTCGATTAGAAGGCTAATCCTGGCGGACATGTTTGGCACAGCTGGCACTAGTGGTGCAGGAGGAAAACAGATGTTCGTACCATTCAGGGCACATAAAAGTTTTGACACGCGTTTCCTTAGTTATAACAATAACACATAAACGAAAGTGTTGCTCACCACAGCAGACGAGAATCGACCCATTTTTTAACAAACCTGTCTCAGATGCTACAAGCGTTTTACGGACAAGTCTAGAAATCCCCAAAATGACCGTTATCACTGCTGGCATGTCTCCAGTTTACAGCATCACCCGATTATGGGGCACATATGATTGGATACTTAATCATTCTTCCAAATAAAATAAAAAACATGGAAGAAAATGTAGAGATATTAGAGTCTTGAGGGACAGACTGTCCAAATTTTGCGTTTTTACGCATATGATTGGTTTACAAACTACGTGAGCTTAAGTATGACAAGCATCTGATAGAAAATTCATCATTCTCTGTCAGCTGGCTGCAGGGTCAGCAAATGACCAAATGAGGCTGCTTACCTTGAAGCAGCTGTTGGTTCGTCCTTGAGAAAGGATGCGGTCAGCTCCGGCGGCTCTGGCGCCGCTCCACAGGGACAGAAAGTCTTGAAAAAGTTTCTAAAGACGCTTCTTCAGCGAAGACGTTCATGAATCCGCCGAAATTGATCCTCGTTAATGAGAAAAGTAAAACTGCCGCACGTTCCTCCTCCTCGGTGTCTCAGCTGGGCGCTAGTCTTTAGTTTTTAACAGTCTGTCTGCAGTCTTTCAATATGCACCGCATGCATCCCAGGTATATAAACACAAACATGCCAGTCATCTTTGGCATCATTTAAAGAAAAAGAAAAAAAGTATAAATAAAAAATAGATAATGCAAAAATATAAATATTTATCTCCGTCAACTTCTGACAGTTTCATTCATTTTTTTAAAAGTTTTTTTTAAGTTAGAAAGAAAGCCATAAACTTTGTCAGCGTCAATCAGATCAACACAAAAGAGAAAAAAAATCCAGTCAAGACTCTGACAATCAAATATTAGTCAGATTAATTAAATTTGGGGGCAAGTAGATAAGGATTTTTAAGTTTCCCCAACATCCAGGTTAAGCAGAGCGCAAAGAAGTGGCCAAAAAGTGTCTGTGCCGCTGCTGTCTAATGCCTTCCAGACGGCTGTGTGTGTGGAGCCTCCTTTATGGCTGCAGCGGCTCCCAAACCCCTTTTACCGGGCTACAACAGATTGGCGTGTTGTTTTAATAAGAGGGGATGGTTTGGGGGGGTATAAGGAGGAGCGAAGGAGGGGAGGGGAAGAGCCACTCATCCAAAGTCATTCAAACTCCTGAGGTAGCGACATGAAGAGAAGGAGAGAAAGGGGGGGAAGAGAGAGACCCTTTCTGGCTGCCCATGCCCCCATTCAAACCCGGAGCAGCAGGGTTATAGCACTGTAAGGATAGGCAGTTAAAGCTACAAGTTTTGTCTTTAATGATTCCTACACACAGCGGAAAACTTGAAAAGTTGAACGTTTAGAGTTGAGATTTAAATTAAGTGAGTTTACATACATGAAATTTACACAAATGATGGAAAAAGTAGATCCTAGGATAATCTACTCTGTAAGATAACCACTGGAGATCAGTCATCTGTATAAGAAGCGCATATCCAGTGCGCACGTGTCGGGCTGGAGTTTGAATGTTATGGAATTTCAGTCATTTCATTGATTCACTAAAGTGCAGTCCCCCCTTTTGGCCAGCAGGCAGTGCTGTGTAATACAAAACAGAGAGCCAGCGGTCTGAAACTTACAGTAGCTCCTCGGTCTAAAGGGAATATCCAACCAAAATCAAGAGTCATGTTACTCCTACCACCACTAGTCAGAAAGTGTTTGTCATTATTATGAGGAACTCTTCTGTAATACCTGGAAAATGCTGAAATTGAGAAATAAAAGGGTTACAAATGGACACTGCGGAGTGAAAACCACAAAAAAAAAAAAAAAATCTGGGGGGATTGATGCTTATTTTGTGCTGCAAAATATCTCCTATTTAATATCTAGTTGTATAAGAATATACATGACACCCTGTTTTACAGAACATGTAATATGGAGTTAAGTTGTCCTTGATTTTATTCCATATTCAGCCCTTGTATTTCATCGCTGGTCTGTGTGACACCTTTTAACCCTTATTTTAAAAAGAGCACTTTGAGAAAAGTCATTAATATGTTTGTGAATGATCACATATTTCTGTTGTCTCCAAATTGTCTCTGAAGATGCTTTACCTGCTTACGTTTAATTTGGGAGACGTCTGTGAATGTCGCATAACAATCTCAAACATAGTTCTACTAATGTACTGTCAGGGATTTGGACTCCATAGAATATCGCACTGTGCCCACGACTTTGTCATATGTTCCAATATTTTAAGGGCCCCTGTCTATGGCTGGGACCCTATATGTACTGTTACTGAAGCTAGGTGCTGTTCTGAGCATTATTTGTGGTTATAGAGTGGCGTTTTGGTTGAGGTTTGCACTTGGAGACATAGACTGCTGTGTATTGCTATCGTGCGGTCGTTGATAAAGTTGATACAACAAGAGAAGTAAGCAGTCAGCAACATTCACCTCTCGAGGGCGTGTCTAACTCGTTGTTACGGTGTGTTTGACCATAATTAAATTTACACTAGAATATCCCTTTTAAGGTTTGTCTCAACTTCTCATATTTGACACCCTAAAAGTTAATCTAAAAGCAGTTGTAACACACACACACACACACAGATACACAATAAAAGTTATCCCTTAGGGAAAGAAATCTAGTAGTCAGCTATATTGTACCAGAAACCTGTCTTCCCACATTATCAGGGTTGTTTTTCAGTCTTTGTAAGGCTCCTTAATGTCTACAGTAGAAATTATACCACTCATTTCTCAGGCGGAGGTTTGCAGCTCTTTGTTTCTTGGCAACTTTAAAGCCCAAATAAATGAAAACATAGATGATGAGACTGCGAAGTGTCAAGTGTGAATCAAAATACATCAATATCAAATAATGCAACATGGATAGATCCTAACAGCTCAGTGTGAGTCACTTTGTTTAACTAATGATCATCAAAGTTTCCAGTATCTAAGTTTAGGATTTATATCCCTCTGAGGCACATTTGTAATTTAGGTTGTATAAACAAAATTTAGTTATCCTGAAAATTTTGACAAGGACCCAAAGAGCTTTGCTCACAATTACGCCTTACTGTTCTGTGCCAACTCTGGGATGTTTTCTAAAGATTGAAGTGAACAGAATTTGCTGTTTTTATAAAGCTAACGTTCAGGGCATGAGGGTATTTCAGTCAGGGGTTAAGAAGAAATGAGGCTTGTGGCTGGAAACCCCCAGCGAAGCTGCACTGTTTATGTATGGTGAAGTAAAAACATGCAGTATCCAACCACCAGTAAATCTGATATGGATTTAACCAAAGACCGAGAAGCGTTATTGTTTCAGGGCTTTAAAACAGCTCTACATTGTACTTTCGACCAAGCTCATTTACTCAAGTACTAATTTAAACATAGAAATAAAAATTCACATGCAGAGTCAACACAGCAGAGCAGAGAGATGTCAGAGCATCATAGGGACATTTTAAAACATCAGCATTAAGGTTTGCTTCAACTGATTTTGTAAACAAATATATCTGTAATGATTGTTTAAAGACAGTGTTAAAAACGTGTGATTTAAGTGGCATTGAGGCAAAATTGCAACTATCATTATGCTGTGGAACAATGGTGCTCTGGTTGGCGTTAGTGATGGGAATTTCGGCTCTTTTTAGTGAGCCAGATCATTTGGCTCAGCTCAGCCTCTTACATTATTCAATACATCCTTTGTACTGAAGTATTCACAAGTAAAAACGACATTTTCTAATATCAGTAAATTGCTGTAGCCATTTGTTTTCATTGCATTTACAGACCCTTGTAACTCTCTTAAACCACTCAATGAATGCACTGACTTGCTTGTAGAACCACTCTGCTACACAAAGCAGAAAGAAACATCTTTAAAAACTTAAGAATAGAACTGAAAAAGGACAGCTATTAAGATTTTTAATATTTATTTAAACATAAATAATCACATAAATCCCGTCATTCTGCCTTGTAGTTTTCTATGATCTGTGGGGGAAAAAGGAGAGAGAGGGGGAAAAAAAAGGACACACAGATGGGAGCCGGCTCTTTGAACCAGTTCGATCGTGACCGACACATCACTAGTTGGTGTGCCATTGTTGTTTAAGTATGAAAAGTGCCACCATGTCAATAAAATTTCCTTCGAACTAAACAGACTGCACCACACACTTACAGTACAGCCATCACATCCAAATGGAAATACTTAGCGCTTCAATGTTCTTTGTCTACTTCAGTGAGACTCTACAGACAGGAAACAGCAGCAGATCATTGGGGAATATGTTGAGCAATTATTCTGGGAGGTGTAGTCAGCTGTGGGTCTACACTCACAGAACATGTCACAGTGTCAATCCCAAGTTTGTTTTACTTTTGCCTTGTCCAGAAATTCAGCCCAAGACTGAATTCAAAATGCCCCACACTGACACAACCTGTCCTCAACTCAAGTGCGGCATGTAATACAGAGGTTTAAACCCCTTGCGTCGTCTGGGAAAAGCTCAACAGAACATATGTGAGTGAGTGATGCACCTCCCATGAGAGGTGCTGTCGGTGTTTCTTTGAACCAAGTAGTTAACCCCTCAATGCAGCAGACAAAATTCCGGTTTGTCATGGTGGAGCTTAAGCTGCAAAAATGTGGTACTTTTTTAAAGGATGATAAAACTGTCAAACTTCTAATGGAAACAATAAATATTTACAGCTCAACCATCAAAAACAGCAAAGACATGGAGAAAAAAACAGATAAATGAGAGTTGAGTTACTCTTCTGGGGGGGCGGAGACATTATTCCCCAATGCCAAAACACACCTAAACAAACAGAGATGACTACCTCCCCAGTCACCCTCCCATACATGAACTGCACTGTGCACTTTTCATACTCTATGTAGAGATGTTGTTGGTTTTTTTTCTTTTATTTATTTATTTATTTTATTTATACTGATTTTATTATCTTTTTTATACTCTACTGTTTTGCTATTTATTGTATGTGTGATTGATACTCTGGAGTAGCAACATAATTTCGTTATATGGACGTATAATGACAATAAAGGCTTTCAATTCAATTTCAATTTCAATTCAGTTTCCTTGTTCTGGTTGGACCAAACAGCCAGATGAAGCCTCTTATTTCCAAAAAGTGAGAAATGTTATTCTGTGACCTGTCCCCATAAGAGGATTTCATTGTGCACACAATATGAAAGATTGTACTTTTTGGGGCTCCACATCATCGAGTGAAAACCTCTTTAAAGAGATGGTGAATACGCTGTTCGGTGACCTGTTTTTCAAGTCATCTTCACAAGTAGATATTATGCACAGGAGAAAATTTGACGGGTGTTAGCTGATATTTGCCCTGTGAACAGATATCAGCCATGCACCAATGTTTGTACCTCATGTTTATCAGTTGTGTTGCATCAGTTGAGAAGTGTGAGTATTACGCCATCACTGAGAAAGATCAGCCACATGTATTTTGCAAGAAACGATCCAGTGACATTTCAGGGAGAGGCACTACTCTAACAACTTATACATCAGATTTTATGGCTTTATAAAACAGGCACAAAGAATAAAACAAGTTAATGCAAAAAATATCAGAATCAGCCATCAGCTTTGTGTCATTTTGGACGAGTATTGTCCCTGTTTTTACAAATGGTGCATCAGCAATAGAGCTCTTCATGCAGGTGCAGATGTCTATCGCCTCAGAAATCCCCTTTCTACTTCAGCTTCATTATGGCTGCATTAGTTGCTAGTTTTATTGCTCACTTGTTGCTGTATCCAAAGACCCCAAAAGTTGGCTGTCACCTCCAGAGGCTATCAGTTCCAGACCAAAGCTGATGGGTTCTGAGTTAAGCAGCATGTGAAGGTGTTGGAAAACAATATAATGCAAACAAGGTGTCGCAGCTCCTTAAACAGATTATTTAAGATGATGATGTTAGCCTGGTCTCACATTGTTTTAAACTTCCCCTCTTTGTGTTTTGTCTGTCCAGAACAAGGGTATCATTTCTGAAAAAGCAGGAAAGAATGTGCTCCAAACAAGCCCAGGTCAGAAAAAAAGAATTTAGAGTTCAGTTAAACTGTGTTAGTAAGTCATGCCTCCGGTTT